GAAGGAATAAAAACACGAGGAAAGCGTCATTCCATGCGAGCAAACTTCGCTAGAGGTCCCTGATTGAGAACCGCGCCAGACGAGAAACAAGGTTAAGTCTTATCCTTTTCCGGCTTCATTAGTGCCAATCAATTTTTTTTTAAATGATAACCTGTTTTCACAAAGTGAGGCCTCCTCTTTCGTAGGCGTGTGGTATAAAAGGAGAGAAGTCTAACCTTACTGGCATATCTAGGAAGAGTAGCAGATCTTATATGTTCAAATTGCTGAGGCTTGTTCAATGTAACTTAAAAGAGGAACCCTTCATTGAGCCACTAAGAAGAAAAATGCGTTGTTGTTATGTAACTTGTAATAACCCCAGGTTCAAAGATTACCGATCAAAATGTCAAATGACTCAGTCACTCTCTCTTGCCTGATTTCGCTGTAATTGTTTAGGTTAAGGAAACTAGAGCGTCACGAGAAGCTGCACTTGTTTTGAGAGTGAAGCCACAGCAAAGTTGCAAGAAAACCTGCATGTTCTTTTCGAACACGTTGTTGGACAGAATCAAAAGGTATGAATGTGAATCAGCTGAAAAAGTTTCAGCTGATACCACGTGCTGTTTGGACTGTCCAATGTTTCAGGAGTCCAAAAGTCGCCATGGCTTAAAGTGGCGTTTAGAGATTCGTAGCCAATCAATCAGATGATTGTGAGCAAAGGGATCTAGTGGTGGGCGTTATAAAGAGATTTTGGTCCTGACTTAAGGGAAGCGTGGTTGGTTTATTAAATAAGACGATTTAAAAAAGCAGAAGGAAAGATAAATATGACTTAAGATATTACATCGCCCCAAAAAATGCCACAGAACTTTGTACCTTGAAGTAATCTAAATACTCCTTTTTCCGCTATCCGCATTACCATAAAGTACTTGTTTGTGGCCACTTAATGCCGGATTGTTTTGGTTTAATTTATCAGGAATGTCATCAACAAAAGTGGAATCAAGACATCTAATTCCTTGCGTATTCTTTTTTTTTTTTTTTTTTTTTTCAGTTAATCCTTCAGCGAAGGATATTTGGAACGAAGCAGGTTTTACATATATTTGGCCCATGCCAACCATGCAAACTCAAGATCTTGAAGTTAAATGAAAAAATGAAAGTTCACGACTTTTTGCAGTTCCTTTTCCATTTTTCAGGGGATTCCAGATTTCGTTTGCAGTGATTACATTTCATAACTGTCTGATATGTTACAGTTATACTCGTCTGCCTTCAGGTTGGCATTTGTGGAATAATCGGGAAAATTGCGGAAATTTTTCCCTGAGAATGAATATTGTTTCCGCTGACCGCAGGTCCAAGTGACTGTATTCTAATGAGAGATAGCGATGGGAAGAGGAAGTCATGTAAAGGGATGATTGATGATTGAGCTTAAAGGAATTAGAATTAACTCATGAGTTATTGCTCTGACAATGGGATGTGCGTTTATCAAAGCATAAAACGGAGGTTTAAGTTGTTGTAGTTAGCTTAAAGTTGATAGAGGCCTCGATGTCCAATTTGGAACAAATCATTAACAGGAATAAAAATGACGTTGAAACGTAAGCGCCTAAGCTAATTTCCTGTTGTTTATGCGTGTAAGATCGAGCTGGCACGATTTTTTGTGTTGCACAAGAACATTGTATGTTAAGGTACGTGACTGAGGGAGAGAGAGAGAGAAAGAGGGAGACAGATAGCCTATGTTTAGAAGATATAAAGGTGAATTATGAGAGAATCGTGAAGCAGACTCAGGAAGCCTTGTTAACAGAGAACTTGAAGGTCAAGAACTTGGTTTAAGAGGTGAACGTTCTTAAATGGTTTACTGTGAGGCGATAATGGTGCTAAAGACGCTATCCTGTACTGAACAATAATTTATCATGCAATATTTCTCCTTCAACATGCATGCCAAAGTTAAGATAAGACTCAAAAATTGTGCAGCTTGACTCGTGAAAAACCCATTTAATTCCCGGAATTTTGGTTAACTGACATGCTGCCACGTTTAAAGTTAAAGCTTTGTCTCTTGTATTTGGTTAAAAAATTTAAATCCAAATTCTTCTGTGGCTGAATGCATTAAAAAGCGAATTAACTCCGGCGAATTATTTTTTTCATTGCAGTATCTAAGGCCAAGAAGTGGTATGAGCTATATAACTAACTTTATTATTTCCGTTTAGATGTAATGTAACAACAGTCTACAAATTTCTTTAAGAGTCTTACTGGCGTCTTTCTCTTTATTATCTTTTCAGTTTTCCGGTCAGTTTTGAGGGGGAAGTTTCGAGATATTTGAGAACGTACCGGGGTATATTTTGCAAACTATTTTTTTCTAAGAATGTAATTTTTATTACCACATTAAGTATGGAATTTCTCCTCAGAGGCGCTTAAATATGCCAAGGAAATTGAGGACGAATTTGTAATTTGTGCCGGCAACATAAAGATATGTGTGTGACCACACTTGTTGTAAAAATGTGATACTATCTTCTTTTTCACTTATGATTCAAGGATGCGCAAAATCTGGAAGTAAATTAAGTTATTCTATTTACAGTTTTTCGTTGATAAAAAATGAAAGCTTTGGTTGATGTTGACGTAAACGAGGGATATCATCACGTCAACGCCGGCTCAGAAACACTTCCAACCCAATTTTATTAAGCACTAGAAAATTCTCCACCCTTTCACAAAAAAGAATAATTTGCATGTGTTAATTTAGAGAACTTTCAGCCGGCAGCTTTCTTTACATATTTGCTCTCATTACATTTTTCCTCTAAGAGGGAAAACGTTTTGATATCCAGAGCTGTTGAACCTGAGTGACACCCTTTTGACAAGATTGAGTTGTAGTTACAGTCCAAGAGCCAATTATTTGGACGACAGGTGTCTAGACGAGAAGATAGGCATATGTCTCAAAAAAAATAACCCGCAACGAAAATACGGCATTTGTGAACGTGCAATACTCACCATTTCGGTCTCTGAATCGCTACCTTTACGTCACACTAGTGTTGAGCGCGATTTTGATCTAAAGAGCGGTTTTTTCAGGAAGCAATCGTCAGAGAAGATCCATTTTAGGAACACTAAGTTTTAATTTCGCTTTGACTCTTCATCTCGTAAAAGTATCACGTTCTAGAGATTTCTCAGTTGACAAACCAGCTGCGGTTAAAAGATAGATTTCAACAGCTTCCGTACACGATGAAGTGCTAACAAAGAGGAAAAAGCTACAATATTGAATTTTGCAAACACCGATAGAATGAAGTCAGAGTTTGAAGAGGAAAACTGGTATTTTCATTCTAATCCTTTAAAAGACAAGTTATAATCAATTTTGCTGTGCACCTCTATGGCAGGTATAAAATCAAGAAACTTAAAACTATATACGATCCTATCGTAATATATCTTTTCGCGTTCGTCAATGTCAAACAAACAATTAAGATTTGAATAAATTACGTAAAATCAATTTTATTCAACGCTTGCTCCGTAAGTGACGATATGATTGGGTTCCATCAATCATCGAAGAGCCCTTTGATATTCGTTGCATGACAATTACGGGGCGGTAGAAAATCTGCTTCCTTCAACACCAGTGATCACGAATATTTGTGGGAAATCCCATTTTCGTGCAAGAGTACACCCAGATTATTTTTATATCCATAAGAAGCCGTTTATCTGACTGACTTTAAATACCACATTTTCTTACTCTTCAGTCGACAAACAAGGGATTTGCGATGTTTGTTTTAGTTTCCAGACAATTGGTTGTTTTGCTTTGAGGGCAGTCGCTGAGTAAAATTCTGTGTTTCGGATAATCTAAAACATGGAAAAATTGCATCCATCTTCCGAATCTTATCATCTCTTCTGCAAAATTGTGTGTTTAAGCAAATCGATTTTCTAGAGCGTCTTCCTTAAAAGTTCCGGCAATTTAATTCCCTTAAGAAAGGCAAGTTATTAATGATAAGCAAATACTCTAAAGGCTGTTTACATTTGACACAAATTTTTCCTCCATCCCCTTAAAGCAGGATGCATAAGTACAGGAACAATAACACTTAGCCTTATCTGCCAGTATCTATTCCGGAAATGGTACCGATCATGTTGTTTCGCAAGCTCTGTCCCATGACTATTTAGGGCAGATACGTTTTAAATTAAAAGTTATTAACCAGCAATATCTGAACGCGCAGGCAAGCTTGAGCGTTTGACTTCGAGTAAAAGGCCGGTAAATCTGTACTTCTGCCCTCAAAGACAAAAACAATCGAGGTAAGAGATAGAAAACTTCGAGTGTTTCAGTTCGATTCTAATTAACACGATTTGATTCGTGTCAAACTACAAAAAAATATTGCCATTATTCAACGGAGAAACTTTAAATTAACTTCGGAGGAGTGTCTGTCACTTAAGTCTGTCTTTCGTGTTAGGCTTACACTTGATGCAATTTTCTAGTGAGTTTTCGATTGCAATTCTACAGTTTAAACATTTGAGCAGAGGAACTCGAAATGATTTAGCATTTCGTGTGCGAAATTCGTCTCTATTTTGAAGTGGCAGTTGAGGTCGCCAATTGTTTGTACACTTGAAATATATGTGAACAAGCTCAGAAGCTCAGCAGGATCAACTGCATCAAAGGTCGTTTCGTTTAGGTTATTACTTGATTTAAGTGTCTCGCTGCCGAAATAGTTTGGACTGTCCTCAAGTAGAAAAAGCAAAAGCAACAGTTATGTTCCTTAATTGACCAAGCACGTTCAATTTATATCTATGCACGATTTTTTTTCAATGTGTGGGCGCTGCGCTCTTGGGAAATTTTAAATTTAAATTTCAAAATACATTAAGAAACTTAAGCATCAAGGCTCTTGGGATAATTCACGAAAAAGGTTACGAGATGTGGAACATACAGCTACAAAATATCAAGTTACGAATTTGGTCGGGTGGAACTAAAATTTTAACCCATTGGGTTTCACCTCTACAATGTGTACTCATTTTTTGAGAACAATGCTACCTGAGGAACTAATTGGCAAATGACAGAGATACCCCATAAAATTGATTATTTTGTCACCCGATGGAAAGAACCTTAAGCAGGTATCTGAATGATGAAGTAACCCAATAATGCTGACTGTGCAGATGAAAATTATTGAGAAATGACATGTTTTTGCTTCGAATTTTAAACAAAAATTGAGTTATGTAATCGAAGCACGTGCCTGTTAGCTGGATTCGACTGATTAGAACGTGCTGTTTTCAAGACGAAAGTTATCAACATGCTTTCAAATTCTGACAAACAACTGAAATTGCAGTCCCGTTGGGTTACTTGACAGCTTATCAAAACTCAAGCCGAAAAACCTGTAAAAAGCAAATGACGTCATTTTCCTTCCCAGCGGCGTTCACTGCAGGTGTGGTACAATCCCGGGAGGTATTTTAGAACGTGGACATTTTCCCTGCGCATAGAAGGACAAAAACTTCTGGGATCAGGATTCGCCACAATCGAAAGGCTGTGAATTTTGTCGCAAGAACACTAGCTTTACCAATCTAAGAAGATTTTGTCCTACAAGGTGCGAGTTTCATTCAAAAGCATATTCTATGAATAATCCACTTCAACCACCTTAGCTACAGACCGAGGAAAATTTGCAAAACAACGACAAAAACACGCGCAAGTAGAACAAAACATTTAAAGCAGACGTGACTTGACAGCGCTGCTTAGTTGGTTGATATTGTAGTTTATCAATAACGGCTTCAAATTACTAAAATACTTTCCTCAGGGGAATGAAGACAACAGTTTAATTTTTTGATAATATTGACCTTCTCCACTCTCTTGCAGATGAACACAATTCAAATGGCAGGATTTGTTTTCTACGTTATGCTCAGCATAACTTTAAGCAGTAGTAGTCCCTTAGAGAGAATAAAACGTTCCTTAGGAGCTGGTGATTGTCCCCCCGGTGTATGGACATGCCTCGCAGAAACGCGCGACTATAGGATGATTGAAGAACCCAACCAAGAGAACTTTGCTGTTGGAGTCGACAACGTCGCTGGCCTCGCCGCCGCCTGCCCGCCTGGAGTATGGACCTGCGTGCATTTTAGTAAGCGACAAGCAGCGAAAAGAAAAACGATGCTGGAAAAAATGTCGAAGCAGCGAAGGAGAGTCCAGAGATCGGTTAAGAACTGTCCCCCCGGAATCTGGGTGTGTTAAGCCTCGAGTACGATCCGCCTAAACGACTTCAAGATTATTTTGACGAACCGTAGAATGCTACGAAAAGAACTGTGTTGTAGTTTCGCTCCTTAACTTAACAATATTAGCCTTCCAATTTAAAATTATTATATATTTAAACCTATTTTAAAACATTCCTCTGCTAAAAGGTTAAAGAACTGAGTTTTATTTAAAGCATGCATTTAGTGTTATTATTTGTCTGGTTTGTTTAGCCCTTGGGGCGAAGTACTGGATTAAAAACATGGCACAATAAGTTTGGTGGTTTTTGTCTTTGATCGGAAAATTACATTCATGGAAGAATTCCATTGTGTGACAATGAATAAGCCTTCCGGTCACGTAACACTAAATTCGTGACACCCTGACATGAATTTTTCCTTTTTTTTTTTTTTTTTTTTTTTTTTTTTTTTTTTTTTTTTTTTTTTTTTCATGAACGCAAATGCTTCTCGTAAAGCTGAAAAAAAAACCGTGAACCTTAAAAAAATTCTTCAACTGTCTGTCATACGTGTCACGCAACCATGATAATTGTTTGAAAATCCCCCACTTAAACATTTGTCCATTTAATTCACCTATCTGGTTATTCCTAAGTGAGTGTTTTAAAATACCAACTTTTGGCGTAAATTAGTCTCCCTCTTTTCCACGGAAATTGCATTTTCCGTTTGAAAAATGATGCTGGCCAAAGCAAGAAAACATAACCATTGGCCAATGTGGCGGATTTAGGTAACGTTATGTGACAAAACTTTAGAACTCATGATTCTATGAAGAGCAATTCAACAACAATCCAACAACAATCCCGTAAAATATAATCTCATTTTCTCTACTCTTTGAACAGTGCAGACGGGGCTTAAAAATGCTTTTTCTAGCGAAAACCCATCTACCGTTGTAAAGTATTTTCTTCAAGTATTGGAGACTCTTACTCACTTTGGGAGTTGCACGGTTCCGTTGCTATTTTACAAACTCAATATATTTTCGTACCTTGCTGAAAAAGAGGGCCAGGGTGACACAATCATTCTGCGGACCCCCTTCCCTCCCCCACTTAGATACGACCCTGTTCACTTTTCTTACACACTGGCTAACTGACGTCGGCATCTGTCCTGATGATCACGCGCACGCCCATGGGGTACAGCAGGGGAAAGTACTATTTTAAAAAGCCATTGAGGCTTCAAGCTGTGATCCAAGTGGAACTCGGGCCAAATCATTTTTTACTTCTAAAAGACCTATTTTAATTTTATTAAAATATACACAACAAAAGCACTGTTGAATTGCATCATTACTCCGATAAATATGATCGATCACATACAATTAGTCTCGTATCGACTCCGGCACTGATCCCTTACGAATCAACCTTTAACCTTCAAAGGGTCAGATTACGTCGAGACCAAAAGCCCTTTGACGACCTCTTACGCTCAACCCCAACCTTTAACGAACCAGAAGCTTGTCACGTTTTTGGCAAGTATCTTATTGTTGTTGTCGCTGCTTTAAGGTAATTGTAACTGTTTCGTGCTACCCTCGATAAATAAAGTTGGATTGATTGATTGATTGATTGATTTGAAACGCCTCACTCTTTAAATTTACTGATTCTAGAAGTTATGTTAAGAAAATAGGGAGATGACGCATTCCATGTCAATTTATTTTACACCGAATGAACCCAGAATCTTCCTCTAGCTTTGCATTTTTCTTTCTGACATCGTCGATTCCAAAATGCGCGTACAGTACAACATCTGAGGTGCAGTGATGTAGCAGGTAGATAGACGAAAATAGTACCATTCTGTCACCTGGTCAACACCCTTCGCCCAGTTGCCAGTCAAGAGGGGATTAGTGTAGTTCTTTTGCCGCAACTTCAATGACACGGTGGAAGTGAACACATGCTCGCACGTGGTCGGTAAAAAACTTTGCACCTTTTTTGAACCCATTGGACTCCTGTCAAAAGATGCGCAACAGGAGCATAAAAATAGCGTTTAGTTCCATTATTCTCCTTTATGTAACCACAGGCGGCCCAAGCTCACGTCTCGAGAAAAAGCCAACGATTAATTAATGAAAGCGTCACGCGTTGTGTGACTCAACAGGAATAACAGTGATGATAAAGCACGCTCAAAACGGCAGAAATCGCCAGAAACTACAACGGACACACAGGATGTGAGCAAGTTTATTGATTTTACGTGTAAAATATTCATATTTGAAATACCTATCGTTGTAAACCGAACATATTTTGTTCCCTCCTACTATTTCATATAACGTGTTTAAATTTTCAACGGTTCCTCTCGTAACTCAACACCGAGTCACACAACGCGTGACGCTTTCATGAATTAATCGATCGTTGGCTTTTCTCAAAACGTGAGCTTGGGCCGCCTGTGATGTAATCAAATAGAGTGAAGAGTATAATTTCAGCCTGAAGGAGTTTGTGAAAAGGCTGTACATACATTTCCAATGATAGCAAACGCTTAACCACCCAATACTTCATGTTTCCATTCTTCTGGATGTCACTTACTATTTCCAATCTTCTTTCATCGGAGTTCTTTTAGCGTGTATTTGAAGTTCCCGTCGTTAGTTGGGCAAGTGTCACGTCAGCTTACCACCTTGACCTTAGGTTACTTGTGGTTTTCCCCACGAAGAGACAAAAATTGCCTCTTGTTCTGACATAGAAGCGTGTGTTGCAATTTGACTAATAAAGCGCACGTGTGCTCGAGGTAAAACTTGCCTAAAAGACATGAAAACAAACCTAAATTAAAAGTGCTTCTTTGTTTCATAGTTACAAGAGTTTGAAGTTAAATATCTCGGATAAATTGGTGATTTGCATGACGTCAACATCATAGACATCGTAAGCTTCTAGTAAGATGGCATGACGTCATTTTCAAGTAATGTTAGTTGCGAAAGTTTGGAACAACAGATTGCGGAAGATTATACGAAAACCCCATTCATAAAAATTCAAGATGAAACTTAATCGAACCATAGACATCAGATTGAAGCAGAAGGTAGCTGGATAAGAAGGTAAACAACAGATGGTGTACTGATTGAGGGGAAGTGAGAATAGCTACCATTAAGTTTGATCTTAGCGCGGCTATTTGAAATGCACACTGAAGTGCGGAACAGTAGGGGTCGTTGGTTTCCGTTATAAAAGAGGAATTCGTGGACATAAACCAGAAGAAATCCTGAACCTTGTGCTAGTGTGCCGTGAGTTACTAGCCACTGATACATTGGATTAGATCAAACACTCCTCAGTCTCCAGAGTAAGGAAGAGCTGAAAGAAAACATCAGGAAAAAAGGGTATACACCTTCACTTCACGGTAAGAGTAAAGAGAAGAAGAAGAATAGGAGATAATAGTTGTCTTTTTTTTTTTAAGGGGAATTTCGATGTACAGTAATTATTAGGATTTTCAAAAGCATTATTTTTCTTCTTTGAGGTGATGTTACGAAATATCGCCATTGACTTAGTTTTATTTTCTTAAGTGAGACATTTTTCTGAATTACTGTAAAAATAACACTCGAGAACAGTTTTTAAAAAGCTGATAGCTTCTCCAAGGTGAAAATAAGTGAAAGCGAATGCATTTAATCAAGATTTAGCCATTTAAAGTGAGTCGAATGATATTGAGAACAGGGCTTTCATCTGATCAACATTCTGTGATTGGTGTTTGAGACAGAACGTAAAATTAAATCATAGCAGTTTTCTTTTACAACATTATTATGCAACAATCATAGCTGTTTTTTTTTTCTGTGGAAGTGTCGGTAAAAGCAGTAATAAATATCTGAGCTATTGATAATGGTGCTTATGCTGCGCGGGCGTCTTCGACGAAAATGGGTCGATTTACGGACAACTCATCAGCGCAATATACTGGTTTCGTTATCGATAAGTGAATTTGTAGATTTAGGTCGTTTTCCGCTACAAAAAGTAACAGCTATAGAGTGTTGTTAAAAAAGCGTCGTTAATATAAGAAATCCTCCCGCTTAAATACTCTTCAACCTCTAGTTGTGCTGTCACCTTAAATTTCTCTTTTTAAAAAATTGCTTTTATCAATGTCGAAAGAGTGCTTTATATAGAGTTCTGCAATCATTTCAATGCAATTTCTGGTAGATAGATGTTTTAATCACCTCGAAATTATTCTAATGAAAACTCGTGATGATTTATTTGGTAGAATGTGCTGTCCAAGTCACTCCCTGTGGGGAAGAAAATGAGTCACGTTTTCAGTTCTTGCAGGAGCTCCTGGTTCTTGTAAGAATGTGCGCGGTCAGGGCCTGGGTAGAGAGCTATTGACGTTTGCGCCCTACTCCCAAATTTCTTTTCTCTTTTGCGCAAGATGTATAAAACAATATTTCTGATGCAAAATTTTGTCAATGGTTTCGCCCCGTTTAGGTTTAATGTGACTTGGGAGGGGTCTGAGGGGCTAAGATTGTTTATAAACGCTCTGGATTTAATCGCATTAAAATTAACGACCCATGAATTTTAATCGCATCTTTTCTAAAAATGGACTTGACGAGCTATTTATAAAATTGTATTTGATTGTTGTTTGTGGTGGTTGCCTTTCTAAAATGCATATCTCTCCCTATGGCCCTACTGGGAAGCAAGCAAGTATATTATTCTGAAAATGCTGAACACACAGGGCCATTAGTCAACTGGCCTGTGTAATGTAATCCGAAGTTGCTTTCATTTTCGCAAAATATTTTTCAGACAAACCTTCTACCGTTTGCAACGCTCCAGATGAGCTAAGATTTCATTAGAAGAAGAAACGCAATTTGAGATTATCCTTATGCCTTCCAAGAGCGCTAGATTGCCTTATCACTCAACAGTTTCTTTCCTAAAAACAACAGCCATAATAACGAGGAAAAACTAAGGCGGGTTCTAAAAAACGACAACATGCTGTTTGCTAGGGCAACAACACGAAAATAATAGACTGAGTTAATTTGTCCAGCCCAAATACGAAAAGTAAAAGAAATTTTTGTTTTCTTCTCATCGACTGACAATGTCGCAAGGGTGTGAACGAGTGGTTCTTTTAGCCTGTGTATTTCGAGAGATGGAGCGCCTTACTTATACAAAAGAATAGCTCCCATAATAATGGTGCATTAAGCTTTCGTGATTTCGCCTCCACTTTCTCCCCCAACCCCGCCCACTACGTGGGATCCAAGACAGAATCTTTTTTTATTAAGTCAACAGCCCGAAAAAAAAAGTGTCAGTGCGTCGCGTTTCATTACCGCAACTATAATAAGTATTTGTTTTCTGTTCATCGACTGCACGAGATTATAAACAGTTCATATTCACTTG